GGCCATGGCGCATGCATTGGTGAGGTCAGAGAACAACTTTCCAGAGTCAGAATTTTCCTTCTACCATGTGGGTACTAGGGATTGACCTCACTCAAGTCATCAGGCTTGGCAGCAAGCACACCTACCCACTGAGCCATCTTGCCTGCTCTCCAAGTATATCTGCAATATGAATTCTTAAAATTGGGCCAAAGAGGGTGTGGATCAGTATTCTGATAGATATTTAGGATGATACTAAATTTACCACGTTCAGTGATTTTCAGAGTTTACACCTTCTTGTCCTGCTTCTGGGTATCTGGGGATGTCTTCCTGGGCCAAAAAATCATAGGCCTTTGAAATCATAGAAACAGAGGGCACAACTCATGATCTGCCAACTTGTATGATCATAGGAAGTATCTAGGGGCTTGTTAAAAACATAAGTACCCCCTACCCACATCAACCCAATCAGAATCTTCTGAAAAGCCCTGGGAAGCTTCTTGAACATAGCCAGACAAATTCCAGCATGAAAAGGCAACATTCCAGATTTTGATGTGGGGCTCAAGGTCAATGTAATTCAGAGTCATGGGAAAGTGACAGACAGTCTTCACAGAGCAGATGTCTGGATGGGCTAGTGAGATGTGGTGAGTTCTCCCTGGGTAAAATTTCATAGGAGCCTAGCTGCCTTCTTCACAGGAACATGTTAGGCATGCTGTATGGGAGCAGGTGGCCAGGTGCAGGATAGAGGGCAAGAGATAGAAGCAGACTGTTTTATTTCCCCTTCATGAAATATATGACCTTGTAGCTGTTACATCAAAGTGTGCTCTTCCTTCTAATAATCACATCCACAGCTCACCAAGCAGCACAGCCCATGTGCCTGTATATTTTCTATGTAGTTAATACACACAATCTTTCCTTCTGACAGTGGTGCTTAGGGTAGGTAATTTCTGACCTCCTTCTTTCGAGGAAGCCGAGACTCCCCAGGATTAAGAATGTGTTCAAGTCCACCCATTCTGTCTCTGAAAAACCAGGACCAGAATTCAGTTCTGTTGGAATCCCAGACCTTTATCCTTGCAAATGCATTGAGGAGTGTAGAACAAGCCTTGGGATGAGTAGGGCTCAAAGTGGAAAGTCAGCTTACATATTTTTTACCTTGGGACAAATAAAACAGTATTTTAGGGAACTGAGGAGATGGCTCAGTTAGTAAAGTGCTTGCCGTACAAGCTTGAGAAGCTTATCTTGATTTCCTTCCCCCAACAGTGTGTGTGTGTGTGTATGTGTGTGTGTGTATGTGCACCCTGGGGAGGCAGAGACTGGAGAAGCCATAGGACTTGCTGGCTGGCCAGTCAGTCTAGCTGAATCTGTGAGCTCCAAGTTCCCTGAGAGATCCTATTCCCCTATTCCAAAATATAAGATGGTGAAAGATTGAGGAACACACCTTTGACTTCCATTTATATGCACATGCGCACGTGTGTGTGTGTATACACACACACACACACCAAAGTCACAGGATAAATACAGCCCAACATAGAGTCAATTTATACATTTTACCTTAGGAAAGATGAAATCTTAGCACAGACAGTAAAGCTATGGCTAATTCTAAGGCTAAAAATAGGAGCCATAAAGGCATTTTCTCTGTCAGTTGGCTACTCCGGGACCCCCTAGAAATTTTTTACTTTCTGCTTTGAATTTATTTGGTTTAAAAAGTTAAGGAATACTGTGTTCTTTTCAGTCACCAATATTCATCTCTCAGTTTGTACACTTAATGAGACATGCCATGAAAAACATTTGCACCTTGAAAACAGCATGGTATCAAAACATCTAAAGCAAACACCATTAGAATATGCAAGAGCAATTTTTTGGGAAAAGAAAACACACTTGTAAACCCAAATAAGCACAAAACCACATAAACAGCTAAGGTACTAACTCCTGTTTAAAATGGCTCTTTCTTAAACCTCTTTTTCCTTCCTTCCACAGGTAAGTGTGGTAGAGCCTTTGGAGGTCTTCAAGAGCAGTTACAAGGGGCCATGCTATACCAGCAATCCTGACAAGTGGAGAAGTTATGCCAAGAGAGTAATCTGTAGCATCTCATCAACTAGGGCCAATGGGGTCAGCTGGCTTCCATAGCTGAACAGGATGGCAACCCTTTGTGAAAGACAGAGATGAAGGCAATCAGGACTTGCCTCTTCTCAACTCTTTTAAAAAGAAAGATGTAGAAATATAGCAACCAGTTTAGGGACCAAGAGACAGAGGAGCTGTCTCCATGGCCTGTGGGTGATGCTGACAGAGAATGGTAATAATGGTATGGTAATAATGGTGGTATCTGACATGTATGGCATGGCTACTAGATGCCAGGCACTAGAACAGTAGTTCCTTAAAAATTTGTTTTGATATATTTTTATTTTGTGTGTATGAGTGTTATGCCTGCATATACATAAGTGAACCTGTGTTGTGCAGTGCCTTTGGAGAAAAGAAGAGGGTGTCAGATTTCCTGGAAATGGAGTTAGAGATGGTTGTTAGCTGACATGTGGGTACTGGGATTCAAACCCAGGTCTTCTGCAAGAACAGTTGGTGCTCTTAACCGCTGAGCCATCTCTCCAGCCCTAGAACAGTAGTTTTTAACCCAGAAGTGATTTTAGCTTTCTGGATACATTTGGATCTGTAGAGGAGAAGTTGCTATTATCTAGTGCTTATAAGCTACGGGTACTTCTAAGCAACCTCTAGGGACTAGGGATGTAGTTCAGTTGGTAGAGTGCTTGCCTAGCATGCAGGAATCCCTGGGTTCGATCACCCACACTGTGTAAATTAGACATGGAGGTACATGCATGCTATCCTGTCACTTGGGAGGTGGAAGCAGGATGATCAACCTGGGGTGTATGAAACTGTTTCCAAAACAGAACAAGATGAAAAGAAGACATATTGCATAGGTCAGAACCACCCTCAGCAAAGAATAATCCCACTCAGAATGTCAATGGTGTTAAAAGTTGGGTGAACTTCACAGTAGGCTTTAACACATATTTAACCTTCAAAAGAACTATGTGAGCCATATTATTATTGTTCCCATTTTAAAGAGGAGAACCATAAGTCTAAAGAAACTACCCCCAGGTGATTAGCAAGCTAGCTCAGGGGTAAAGTGGCTTACTGCCAAGCCTGATGACTTAAATTTGAAGGAGAGAACTGACTCCTACAAGTGGTCCTCTGACCTCCACATGCATGTGGTGACATATACGTGTCCCCTCTACACACACAATAAAGAAATAATACACACATAAATAAATATAAAAAACTAAGGAACTAGCTCTAATTGTTTTGAACCCTGGATGCATTTGGATTTCTTACTTGAGATGTATTTGGTCCTATGATCATTACAAACATTTTAGGTTTGTTCACTGCCTGGGAGTTGGTTCCCTTAAATGTCAATGTGAAAGTTACTCAGTTCATGTTAACCCAACCCCCATTCCTTCTGGAACCAGGCTGGCTAACAGCTGGTGGCTGGAGCAGAGGCAGCAGATATTATATAATGTCTACAAAAGTATTGAAAAGTTGACCTAATCAGGAAGATAAGCACCCAGTAAGATAGAGTGAGACTCTATACCGATTTAAAAATATGCTTCCTATGCATAGTATCTAGGCTGTTTTCCCACATCCTCTCTTCTTCCTGATGTCTGATAATGGTGTGGCGTGTCTATTGAGAAAACAGGGGCCTTGATGCCATGAGAATCAGACGGAGGCAATCCCTCTACCACATCCGTAGACAGAATTAGGTCATTGAATTCCAAGAGTGTTGGGTCCTTTGGAAGACAACTTCTGTTTTTCTTTTTTTCTGTTCTGATAAATGCCAAGCTGCTTGTCAAAATATTTATGAGTAGAGATGGAAGAATCAGACTTTTTCTTTTGAGTCATTTCTCTGCTCCTAGTCTGGATGTTTGATTTAATTATTTTTATTCTGTCTGTCTGTCTCTGTCTCTCTGTCTCTCTCTCTCTCTTTCTCGCTCTTCCTGCCAGGGCATGCATGTGGAGTTCAGAGGACAACATTTAAGAGCTTGTTCTCTCCTACCACCATGGGATCTGGGAACGGGACTCAGGTCATCCTGTGTTTAGCACATTTACCTGCTGAGCCATCTTGTCAGCACTGGGCTGGATTTTGGACTTTGTGTTTTCTTTCTTCTACCCTATTTGTTTCTGTCCTTTATTATTTTCAATCTTTGCACAGTCGTTTGTATTTTACTGCCCATGTAAAATGTGGAAGGAGGTAAGTACAACCAGGAATTGTCTAAATAATTAGACTGACCACTCGCTGGGCATTTTTGTGTATTTAGGCTATAAAAGGGCAAAGGCTTCAGTGAATGAAAAACCCCTAAGAGTTTTGGAAACAAAAACAGGGCACAATAAGATTCAAATCCAAATAATTTTCCTCTCTCACAATTAAAAACAACAACAGTAACAACTTTCTGCTCTCACAAGCTATCTGATTTGCTGTACTGTGGGTACATATTTAAAAATTATTATTTAAGCTGGTTGAATCATTGAAGCTCAAAATACAAATTTCAGTCTCACAAACTTTAGTTAACCCTAGATCTGGGCTGGGTTGTATGTTACTGTGAGAGATCCCCAGGTGAGCATGTGTCACCTCTGCCCAGAGGAACTTGACATGTTAGCGGAGTAATTAGACATCTAATTGCCACCACAGGGAGATGTATCAGTTATCTGTTGCTATGTAACAAGTTACCCTGAAACAGCAGCTTAAGCTCACACTTATCATCTATGGTTCTTACAAGTTAGAATTCTGACCATGGCTTCCCTGGTCCTCTGTAACAAGGCTTCTTACAAGGCTTAAAGTTAAGGTTTAGGGTCTCTGGTCCCATCTTAAGCCTCAAGCAAGAAAGATCTTCTTCTGAGCTTCCCCATGTGGCTGTTGGCTGGATGCGGTTCCTTGACAGTTGTTAGTTTGTGGGTCTTGGTGCCTCCTGGACGTCTTGGCTGGAGGCTCCCCTCGGTTCTTACAATGTGGATCTCTTCTACTGCAGATTGCTTCAACAAAGTAGGAACTCTGAGAAGACAACTGAGAGCTTGGTAGCAAAAGTCATGAGTCCAGCAAGATGGCTGAGCAGGTAAAGGCACATCCTGGCAAGAGTGAGGACATGAGGTCTATTTCTTTTGTCCACAGAGAAGGAGAGAATCAACTCCTGCAAGTTGTCCTCTGACCTCCACATATGCACTGTGATTCACACACAACTAACTAACTAAAGTTAAAAAAATGTTATAAGTAGGGGCTGGAGGGATGGCTCAGTTAAGAGCACTGGCTGCTCTTCCAGAGGACCTTGGTTCTGTGTCCAGCACCGACATGCTGGTTCACAACCATCCATAACTCCAGTTCCAGGGGATCGAATGTCCTCTTGTAGCTTCTGTGGGGATTGCACCCATGAGTATACATGTACATATAAGCAAACACTCATATGCATAAGATAAAAATAAATAAGAACAAAAAATTTAAATTATAACTTTGTAAACTGCTTTTGCAAGTAGCAGCTGATCACTGTGTGTATTCCTCTGTTTAGAAGTTTTTTTGTCTAGCTTACATTCCCTAGGGCGTGGGTACCAGAAGATCTATGAGAGCCAGATCAGAAGCTGCCTACTATGCTGGTTTTAAGAGGGGTAACGAAGAAGCTGTGATTCCTTAAGCTCAGGGATTGATAAAGAAATCTTTGCTGGCATGGGGTTCAGGCAGGCTTGTAAACACAGCTTCTTAGGAGGCTGTCAGAAGGATCCCAAGTTCAAGGCTAGCCTGGTCAACTTAGAGATCTGTCTCAAAATCTTTAAAAAAAAAGGTAGAGTAGGGTGGGGGATATAGTTTAAAGGTTGAATGTTTGGCTAGCATGTATGAGGCCATAGGTTCAATCCCTAGTATGGAAAAAATAATCTCACCTTTAAAAGAGTTGTTTCCTGACTTTCCTGAAACTGGACTAGTCTAGGTTTTGACACCTACTCTGTGATTAGTGGAGAACCCAGGCCTGACTTGGAACGTTGGCAGCTAATCACATAGGGTATAATGTCCCCAGGTGTGATGACACAGATGGAGCCTCCTCTGTGTCCCCATCCTCACGGTAATAGCTGCCCTATCCAATCTTTGCCTTAGGAAATCTTTGGAGTCTAAGTGTCACTTAATTATTTACATATTCACCCACATTATGTGTCTGTTAATCCCAAATGGTAAAACTAAACATGACTCCCCTTTAAGGAGCTAGATCGGGAGCAAGCCATACTTTTGTGATTCTCCTCGTAGAGAACAGGAGTTGGTACCTCGATCTTCAGAATGGAGCAGGGATATTAAACCTTTCCCCACCCATCTGTTTCTGTATAATCTAAATGATGAAGAACTTGGTTTTCACATTCTATTAATGTTTGAAAAAACATGCAAGAGAAATGTGACATATGAAAATAAATGGCAATTTAAATTTTAGCCACACCCACTTACTTCAATTTCATTCTCTACTGTGTGGGTAGTGAACATTCATATGTTGACCCAATTCCCCACATAATGGCATCTGGAGGTAGGAACTTCCAGAGGTGATCAGATCATGAGGGTATGTCCCTCATGTAGGAGACCCTAAAGAACTATCTCTTTCCCTGTGCTGTGTGAGGACACAGTAGGAAGTTACCACCTAGAAGAAAGCGGATCCTTACCAGAAGTGGCATCTGGTAGATGCTTGTTCCTGGCCTTCCCAGTTATTAGAGCAATTTCTATTGTTTATATATCACCAAATTTATGGCTTCTCCTCCCTCTTCCTCTTCTTTCTCCCCACCCCCCGCTTCTTCTCCTTCTTCTTCTCAGCAGCCCAGATAGGCTAAGTCCTTGTCTGTGGCTGCTTTGGCTAAAATTGCCAAATTGAGCAATTGCCATAGAAACAGGATGTTTCACAAAGCCTGAAACACTCTCTAGTCCTACTGGAGAACTTTGCCCACCTCTGGCCTAGAGGGAGATGAACATTGTTGCCTAGTGATGAGACCAGTACTAGACTAGAACAAGGGCCATTGGGGGTGCACGGAGGGGGCTTGCAGGCTTCACCAAGTTTTCTCAAAGCAGGAGGAAAAAAGAAAGAACAAGGTTATTTCAAGGACTCTTGAGTAGATCATCACAGACACTTAGAGCATGTGGTGTTCCCTGAAATGGATATGGAAACCAGTTTATGGGCACACATGAGTCTCTCTACCCTTAGGAAGAAGGTCCATCTCTTTCAGCAGGTTTTCTTTGTGTGTGTGTGCTTGTGTGTGTGCATGCACTCATGGGCACATACAGGTGCACATGTATACTCATGTGTAGATGGCAGAAGAGAATCTTGGACGCCCTTAGGTGTCTTCTTTTTCTTTTGAAACAGGAGCTTTCTGTTGCTGTGATAAAACACTGATCAAAAACAACTTGGGGAGGAAAGACCTTATTTAGCTTACAGGTTACAGTCAATCTTTGAGGGAAGCCAGGGCAGGAACTCAAGGCAGGATCTGAAGCAGAGACTGAGGAGGAACACTGCAAACTGGCTTGCTCCCCCTGGCTTGCTCAGCTACCTTTCTCATACAGCCCAGGTCCACCTACCTTGGGATGGCACTGCCCACAGTGCACTGAGCCCTCCTACATCAAATAGCAATTAAGAAAATGCCCCACAGACATGCCTACAGGTCAATATGATGGAGGAAATTCCTCAACCAAGGTTCCCTCTTCTCAAGTGTGTCAAGTTGACAACCAAGAAATCACCAAGTAGGCTAGGCTGACTTTCCAGTTAGTCCCAGAGAGTTGCCTGTCTCTGCCTCCCCAGAACTGGGATTACAAGCGTAACCACCACACCTGACTGTTTTTTTGTTTTTGTTTTTGTTTTTTTTTTTTTTAAACATGAGTTCTGGGAATTGAGCTCAGGTCCTCAAGCTTGTATGGCAAACATTTTGCTGATTGAACCATCTTTCGATCATGTCTCAACAGGTATTCAATAGTAAGAAGCACTATTGTGGGTAGTCATGGTGGTCCATGAGAAGCCACAGATGTGTAGTGCAGACCAATACCACTTAAGGGGTCAGTGGAAGCTACAGTAGTGAGAACAGAAAACAGAGTTCTATGAGTCATAAGAGAAAATATACATGAACATTCTAGACTGTCAGAAGCATGCTCCAGAGTCTTGATGGGTCTGAGTTCTGGGGCTGACCCAATAAAATGTACAGCATTAACCAGTTCAAGAATATTGGGCTAAGCAAAGTTCAACTGATTGGATCTTTGCTTCTTCATCAAAAGTAGCTGATGGTGGTTGGGAGGAAGCAAGCCCTCCATCAATGCACAGAGAGGTGGTGGGTTGGTATTTCATTTTATCCAAGATAAAAGAGTTGAGTAGGCTTGTGAATCAGTCTTTGATCAAAACTCCAACCCCTGCCCCAATGCAAACTCATACAACGCAGACTCATTCTGCCTCTGGCCTTAGGAAAGTCTGCCCAAGCAGCCAGCTGGTGTCCAGAGCAAGACCCAGCTCTCTTTTTGTGGGCTGGGTCTTTATGCTGGATTATGTACCCAGAGCAGCATGGAACTCTGAAATAGGGTAGGAAAGGAGTCTTTCTCTGAACATGAAGTGTGTGGGGAGGTGGGATGGAGAGGTAATGGTTTTCACCGGATTCTTTTTTATATTTTATTTAGATTAAGTTCTTCTCAGCAGGGTGATTTCTTAATTAGAGCCGCCCAGCCAGGCAACCCTCCAGCTCAGACCCCTCTGCAGCCTTCTAAGATTTCATGAGGGACCTTGTCCTGCCTTATTTCCTGAGTTCTAATATTTGAATAGTATGCAGTGGATTTCAATGGGAGGAAAAGACATGTAATTTAATCATCTTTATTAGATTTTGCCTGTGGATGGGGAGAAGAGGAAGAAGGAGGAGGGACATGGGTCCTCTCTGTTAATTTTATTTTTCTTTTTCTCTACCTTTCTTCCAGTGGTCCAAGAAGGAAGAGAATTGATGCCTCCCCTCACCCAACACCTAAATGAGAACATTAAGCCAGAAAGAGAATTTAGACAGACTTGGTGTGGGACTGTTCGAGGTCTGGTGGAGCCATTCATGTAAACGAATTATGCATTTCCTTCTTCCGTGACCTGCATGGGGAGTGTGAGGGTGATGGTTCTGTGACTTTTGTCTTCTCCATCACCTGGGTGCTGTAGACTTAGCTCAGCAAGACCCTGTCTGTAATCAGGGGTGCCTAAGCAATGGCTGGGCAGGCTATATGTACCCCAGGATAGCTACGAATGTAGGCCAACACAAAATCAAAAACTTAAAACAATATGGTTTTTTTGTGATTATTTTTTGTAAATCAACTATGTAATGAGCTTGAACTTTGTAAATGACAATTGTATCACCATGTCTGAAGGTCGGACGCCATAATGTGCCTTTTTGCCCGATCATAAACTGGCATTGTTTTAGCCACTATCAAGGACAGGAAACCAGCTGATGGCCATAGAAAGATGAGGAATTGGCACATTATCCTGGAGGAAGAAAAAGATGGGTCACTTTGGCACCTTGGAATGCCTCTGGTGGGATGGGAAGTTGGGCAGCAGAAGACTAGAGCACACAGTCAAAGGGGTGTCTTGGAGGAAGTTGCTCTGTTGAAACTTTTTAAGAATGACAGGCTTCTGCAAGCCTCATCAAATAAAATATACTTGCATTGTTTCAGCCAGCGAGATAGCTCTGGAGGTAAAGGCACTTGCTCCCAAGCCTGACAACCTGAGTTCGATCCTCTGGGAACCATGTGGTGGTCGGAGAGAACCGACTCCTGCAAGTTGTCCTCCGAGCTCCACACAGACAAAAAAATACATGAACATTTTTTAAAAAACTTGCACTGTTAATTCTCCCATTTGACCTGTAACATGTATCCCCCTCCTGCCTGTAATCCCTCTTTTCTCCCTGTATCCTGTTAATCATTCAACTTTATCAGCATAGAAGTTATTCACTATAAGGATTTCAGGCCCCATATTCATGTTGCATTCAAATAAAATAGGACTTAGACTTTTTAAACCATTTGTATCACAGACAAAACCCAAAAGTGGGACTTTACTACCCAGATACACTGTTCTCTACTTAAAACATTTTCTTTTTTGTCTGTCTCTTGTTTCTAAGCAATTTTAACATTTTCAAAATTTCTCATAATGGGGAGAACATTATTTATGGCATCGATGTCAGGAGGGTTTTAGTTAAGAATAATAATGTCATCTCTAAATAGGAGAGATGGAGAGTTCCTTTAAGGCAAGAGAGGACACTTTTGCAGCACATCCTTCATACAGGCTGGTCTCTTTGTTAAAAATGCTTGGCTTAAGAGTCCTATTTTCATACCAAATATCTTTATTAAATCATCGTATTAGCAGAACAGGCTTTTCATAACTATTACAATGAGTTTATCTGTATGATCAAAAGATTTTCATGGTCCCATTGATAAGCTACCCATTCTAAAATTTAAAAAGATGAGACTCCAGACAAGAGTCAGTAAACATAGCTGCAGGGGTTATGAGGCCCTCACCAGGAAAAGTCCAAGTGTTATCAAGACAATTGTCTCCAGATCCAAAGAAAACTGAAAAAGAGCAGCCTCCTGTCCTAACCAGCATTCTGTTGCTGTGATGAGACACCAGTCAAAACCAACTTGAGGAGGAAAGGGTTTATTTGGCTTACATGTTCAGATCACAGTCCGTCAGTGAGGGGAGCCAAGGCAGGAACCCAAATGGGGCAGGAATCTGGGGGCTGGAGCTGAAGCAGAGACCACGCGAGAGTGCATCTTACTGGCTGGCTCCTCTGACCTGTGCTCAGCCTGCTTTCTTATACAACCCACGTCACTCAGTGATCAAGAAAATGCCTCATAGACACGACCACAGGTCAGTCAGATAGAGGAAATTCCCCAGCTGAGGTGCTTTCTTCCCAGGTATGTCAAGTTGACAACTGAAACTAACCAGCATCCCTCCCACCCCCTCACTCTGGGCAAAAGGACAGAACAATTTCACATACAGAGCCCAGTGAGTCTGTGTCTTAGTTTCCTCTCCAGGTGCTGTGGTAAAATGCCCTGACCAAAAGCAGCTTAAGGGAGAAAGGGTTTATTTCAACTCACAGTTCCAGGGTTACAGCCCATCCCTGTGGGGAAGTCAAGGCAGGAAGTTGAAGCCACTTCTCAGACCACTGTTAAGAACAGAGAGAAAATGGAAGCCTGCCTGCTTAGTACTCAGCAGCCTTCCTGTACTCCTACCCAGTCCAGAGCTCCAGAGCAGGGAATGGTACCATGCACGATCAGGTTGGGTCTTCTCACATCAGTCAAGGCAATTAAGATAATCCCCCACAGACAGGCCCACAAGCCAGTCTGATCCAGATCGTCCTCCATTAAGACTTTCTTCCCAAGTGAACCCAGGTTATATCAAGCTTACACAACTAACTATCAGAGTCTGGGATGGTCCCTTTGATTTGAAAAGCTCAAACAACAAATCCAAAAACAAACTGTCCTCTGAATCCTAGGAGGGCACTCCCCTCCCTTTTTTTTTTTTTTTTCCCCAGAAAGTTCTATCTTGTTTTCTGTGTCTGCCAGGTGATCAAAAAGCTTCGCTGGTAAAGAGAGAGCTGGGTCTTGTGCTGGACTCCAGCTGCTTGGGCAGGTTTTCCCAGGATTAGAGATAGGTTGTACCAGTGTACAGTTTTGTTAGGAATGGGGCAGGATATGGGATTTTGTTCCAAGACTGACTTAGTAGGTCACTGTATCAGTCTTGGTATGTTTATATTTTTGATTTGCTGACATAAACATACAATATGTGAATGCCGAGCTAATTTATTTTTATGATACTTGGAGAAGAATCCCATTCGTAACCCTAGTACTGAAAAGGTGCGTATTTTGACCTCCCACCTTTGACTTACGCTTCATATGTGAGTGAACTTTACAAAATAAGATAAGGCATGGTGTGGGGAAAGTGCAGGATCTATTGCTCATTAGGCAAACCTAGAAGAGTCAGAACCCCAAACGGCCCATGCTCCTGACTTCTCAGTTAGGGAGAATGGGGCGGTGAGGAGAGTGACCCAATATAAACAACTGTTGCAGGGGCCTGGGAAGATAGCGTAGGTGGTAAAGTATTTAGTCATAAGGACCCGAGTTCAATCCCCAGAACCCATATACAAAAGCCAGTTGTAATGATGCCTGCTTATAATTCCAGTGCTGGGGTAGAGATGGGCTGATCCTTAGGGCTCAACAACCTAGTCTCTTGGTGAGCTCAGGCCAGTGAGAGACACCATTTCAAAAAATAAGTAGATGGCATTTGAGGAGCAATATCCAATGTTGTCCCCCAGCTTCCTCATGCCTGCAGGCACACACACACACACACACACACACACACACACACACACGCACATACACACAAAGTGGACACATGAACTTACATGCACATACACACAACAGGAACAACTGCAGGAGTATTTGGTTTCAGCATCAGACATGGTAGTTCTGCATGTATGAAACTTGGTTGTCACCAACACGTCTTACCAGAGATGAGATGGATGTGGCTGATGTCAGGGAAGGTGGAACACGCCCAGGGCTCAGCCATGTAGATACATTGAAAAATCCTTTTAAGCTTTCAAAGATAATTAAACCAAATTGCCTTTCCCCACTCATTCTGCATGACTTAGTACCTGATATTATTACTAAGGACCTGCCATGTTAAAAATAAAGTTTCAGGAATTCAGGGTGAATTTTCTCTTTTAATTGTAACTGTGATACACTCTTGGCCCAGCATTACGAAAGGTCTGGCTTAGATTAGGCCCTGGCTGAGAGACCTCGCTAATTTAGTGCCTGTAATTATGTCTGACGCTGATGGCGTTCTGCTTTTTGCAGGACATGCCCTTTGAGTTGTTTTTCTCAGATAGAAGCTGTGGCTGGGTTGGGCCATCTATACTTTCTTGCCCCGGGGCCTCTTATGACGCACGTTGGACAGACAACTGGCCAGGAGAGGGGGGCAGATATGGGACCCTGAAACACAATGAAATTGGTTGGCAATGAGGGGATATATTCCAGAAAATCATGAGTACTGTAAGTATTCTAATATATGACTCCAACTGCCATCAGCGTGTAGAATCAGAAAGGAAAACAAACAAACAAACAACCCCTTTAACAGTTCAGTGCTTTTCTTGGGGTGTTGCCCAGTCCTGGGGTGCAGAGTAGCAGTGTGTTCATGCCTTGTGAGGCCTGAGTGTGATCAGCCTGGCCTTTTACTCTGCAGAGGCCCAGTAAGGTGCCTGGCAAAACAAACCACTGTGTAGCTATAAATAAGATGCCCTGGGGACTGGGGAGAGGATTCTGGCGTTAAAGTGCTTGCCTGGCAATCCCGAGGACCTGAGTTTGATCTCCTGTACAAAAAAAGTTGGATGCAATGGTATGATAGGCCGGTAAGCCCAGCACTGGGAGGAGCAGAGACAGGATGAACCCTGGGGCTCACTGGCCAGCCGGTCTAGCTGAATCGGTGAGCTCCATGTTCAATGAGGCACTCCCTATCTTGTGCATGAAATTGTCAAAAAAATAAAATAAATTTAATAAAATGAATACGAGAATTTTCTCTTATTGATCAGTTTCTATAATTCTGAAATTACATTAAATGAGCTGTTAATAAAAATGAGGTAGAGAGCAACTGAGAAAGACTATATTGACCTCTGGCCTCCACATGTGCATGTAGACATGTCCGCACATGAGTGTGCACATACAAATAAGAGTAGGTAAGTGAGGGTTTCCTCCCTTGCTGTATAAAAACAGTCGAGTTTTCAGTTCCTGTAACAGTTTGACCCCAGCAAAAGGCAGAAGAACTGCACATTCAAAATAAATCAGTTCCAAATGGTTTGAAAATACGTTATAAAGTGCTTCCTGCTAATGTGCCTGAATATTATCCACCAGCAGAAACAGGAATATGCCGCAGCTGTCTTTGAAGCCATGCTGTGTTTTAGGTACATGGTAGGGGCTGCTGTGGTGGGTGTGGGGGTTAGGGCGGGAAGGCTGGCTGCTCATCATTAGTGAGCTCCCCTTCTCTCGTCCCCAGTTAGTGGCATTTAGCTGTGAAGCCACAGGAGGCTGGAGGGCTAGCTGTTGAGAGCCGGAAGAGGAGGAAGTGAGCAGTGGGCTGATACCCAGGAGGGTTCCTGGAGAGTAACCAATCCCATCAGTGGGGGCAGGTGGAAGTCTCCAGTGTGACTATGGGGCAACCTGCAGAGGAAAGAGAGGAAAATGATTTCCGGAGGGTCACAGGCTCTCCCTCCGGCTTGCTTCCCTCCTTTTCTTTGCTGTTGATTACAAGAAGCAGTTGAAGGAAGGATGTATCAAACTCCAAGAAGAAAGAACCCCTGCCAGTCTCCCCCTGTGACCCTCGACTCTAAGAGGCAAAATCATATTCCAATTCTGCCCGAGCTGACTGTTTTCTTTAACAGAGAGCCGAGTGAAGTAGAGGTCCCATATCAAAGGAAAGGGAAATCAAGTCTGGCCGTCTTACAGCAGGTCCTGGGCTGGTGGGGGAGGGCTTCAAGTCCCCAAAGATGTCAGTCAAACACCAGCTGCGTTTTTCCACCTCCTTCCTGTGACCCTTCTGAGCAACTATGGAAATCAAAAGGCAGCAAGCAAGCACTTGGTGGTGACTAGTAATTGCATGATTTATTAGAGATATGAAGTACAGATC